TTGAGCTATCTAAAATTAAAAATGAAGCTGTCTATACGTAAGTTGGAGACTATAACAGTTCCTAATTTTTCTCCACTTTGTCCTACCTCCAGTCAGTTTGCTACATAACACCAGAATGATCTTTTTAAAAACGTACGTCACCTTATGTCATCACCAATGTTAAATCTGTTAATTGCTTCTCTTTGCAATGTGAATAAATTCCAAAGTTCTTAGCCTGGCCCACATGGTCCTATGTGATCAGAACACTACTTACTTCTCAGATCTCATCCTGCCATTCCCTTTCTTGTTTTATTATGCTCTAACCACATTGTCCTTCTTCTTGCCACCCCAACATGCCAAATTCATTGCTACCTCAGGGCCTTTGCATTTGCAGTTGCCCACCATATCCCAGATGCATGGCTGATTTCTTATCAATCAATTCTTCCTTATGGAGGCCCTTCCTGGCAACTGTTTGAAATATAACTCCCCATCATCCTCCATCAAGTCACCCTTGTTTTATTGGCTTTATAAAATCATCACTATTGGAAATTATCTTCTGTTCGCTCATTTGCTGTTTCTCTACCCCCAGGAGGATGTCAGTTACACAGAGACAGGACTACTCCATCTGGAGCCCTCCAAACTGCCAGTGCTCAGCATGGGTGGCATACTGGCACAGTCAGAGCTATTTGTTGGATGATATACTAGACAATGGACAGTGAGTTATTTTTCAAGTTGGGTCATTGTCAGGGAGAGGGTAGCAGGCCATGTGAATGTTAAGTGGGCCTTCAATGATAACAATCTAAAATCTAAATCTAAAGAAGCATCTGAATATAAGAGGAGAGAGACAGATCTCAAATCTCACTTAGTCCAGGCTAGGTGTCAGGTCATCTCAGGTCACTCCTGAGAACAAATGCCAATCCCTTCTCTTATTTTCCCATCACTTTGACCAAATAACCACTTTATTTCAATTCTCTCCACTGATGTATTAACACAGGCCTACAGTTCAAAAACGAGCTACCATGAGAATTGTACAAGAAACTATGATAAATTGGCTACTTTCTTGCCATGTGTCTGTGAAACTTGCTGCTTAGCAATAATCTAAGTGTTCCATTAAAATGACTAAGACATTTCATTTTGTTTAGCCTAAACATATTCCAATGTACATCTAGAAAGAAAGAAAGAAAGAAAGAAAGAAAGAAAGAAAGAAAGAAAGAAAGAAAGAAAGAAGGGAAGGAAGGAAGGAAGGAAGGAAGGAGGGAGGGGTATCTTCCTTATGTAAGACGTAAGACTTGAAACTGAGAAGTTATGAACTCTAAAATGTTAGTTCTTTCATTGAAAAATAAAAATTTTTAAATAAAAATTACTAGTTTTGCAACCAAAGTGAGTTAGAGAATTTCAGCCAGCTTCCCTTTAATACTTTTAAGAGTGCCTCTGATCTTGCTTAAAAGGAAAATCTCCCACAAAAGAACATTTCCTTCTTAGCATGTTAGCTTTGAAATCAGCTTTGTTTGTAGTTTATACTTCTTTTTACTTTAATTTTGTTTTTCAAATGAAAAATGTAACACAAAATATGATGTCTTGATAATTAGATTTTTACAATGGAATAAAGGCTGCTATGTGTTCAAGGAATCAGAAGATCACCATTTTAAAACTTGGTGAAAGAATTTATGTGGTCAATAGTGGGCAGTGTGACAAAGTACCCCCTCCAGGTTATCTGCTACTTTCCAAAGGGAAAGTAGACAACTAAGA